TGCACACTATTTCGCTAGCTATTGAGCTGACCACATTTTATTTTTGTCTTTTGCTATTTTATTAATCAAACGGAGAATGGAAGCAGGTGAATTTGATTTGTTGTAATGCCTAGGATTGGCTAATTCGCCCCCATTTTTAATTAATCCCTTAAAGTGAAAGCAGATGGCGGCACTTTCCTCTTGCAGTCTTCACACAGATGCTTGGCCCGACCTCACTGCGCAGGCTGGTCCTCCAGACTCAGGGCTGACCTCAGAGCCCAGGGGCGACCAGAGGGCAGTGCCCCAAGGCGGGATGTGAGGCATCTCCTTGCTCTCGCTCGTCGCACCTGAGCCTCGTGGAGGGAGAGACCCACGCCAACTCCTGCCACATGCGTTTGGTTGGTGATCTCCTTGTTGGCATCTGAAGGAGAGAAAACTTGAATCAGGTCGAGCTGTTCTACCTCGAGGGACTCTTCCCTCTGTGTGGAGACCGGGACGCATTGAATACAGGATTTAGTGGAGGGTCGGCAGGTAGCCTGGGCAGACTGGACTGCTGAGCTCGGCCTCTGGGCTCCTGAGGACACGTGTCTTTTTCTTGCCCCCCATGTCTCACCCCGCATGTGAGCCTGTCTCAGGCCTGTGGGCGCCTCTTAGCGTGACGCACCCAGGATGGTGCCAAGGGCTCTGGAGCAGCCAGAGCTGGGCCCCACCTTTGGAACGTGTGCTGTCCATTGGAAATCTTTCCTGGATGGCATTCGCTCATTTTCTTAACGCTAAGTCACTAGAATAATTCCTTTGGATAAGCCTTTAAAGGCCACTTGTAAGTTTATGGTTTGGTATTGACAAAACTCATGTAACTCTGTGGTGCTAAGCCACAGGGTGTGATTTCGTCCACCACGATTTTCATTTCACTATATACTTTCAGAGGAGAAAAGAAACTGGATTTAAATAGGCAGATACATGTTTTAGTGTCATACTGATCTAGTAACGGAATGCAAAGTCTGGTTAAGTTTAAGTGTAACTCTGGTATGTTTTCTCTCTTACCCACTAGACTTCATGAGGAGATAATTGACTTTTACAACTTCATGTCCCCTTGTCCTGAAGAAGCAGCCATGAGAAGAGAGGTGGTGAAACGGATCGAAACTGTAGTTAAAGATCTTTGGCCGACGGCTGATGTGAGTACACTCTGTGCCCGTCTGTGCCACACGTCACATCCCATCCTAGTGCGTCTGAGCGCTCTGGGGTTGCTGTATCAGCTGGATCCACCCCGTTTCTCATGGGCCCACGGCAGCAGTTCTCTGCATATGGTTGTGGGATGGGCAGCTTCACCTGGGAGCCGGTTAGAATGCACGTCCTCCAGCCCACCCTGCACCTGCCGCATCCGCCACCCTGCGCTGGGGCCAGCACCCGTGTGCACGCCCAAGTGTGAGGACCCTTGGCGTAAGGGATTTGTGGGTTTTTTGGAATGAAGTGATTAAATTCTCCTTAAGGTTAGACATTTCACCACCATCCGCCACGCTCACTCCCCCACCCACCACACGTAGTAAGTAGTATCTGACTTGTGTGCATCTTGTGACACTTGGAAGTATTCCTCACGCGGCACTTTCACGGGGAGGAGGCAGGTGTGTGCTGAGAGGAGGCGCCTGGGCACTTGGGCCCGCCTGGCACAGGCAGCGTGAGCACCGCTGTGGAGCTGCGCGGCAGCCGGGCCCTGTGCTCAGCTCACCTTCGCCACTGAGGACCCTGCTGCCCCGCCCCACGGAGTGCGTGGTGCGTGGGACGTGCTCTCAGTGCAAGGGCGGGGACTTGGTTTCCCTCCTCTTTTAGAATGATATATTAATATATTTGTGGCTTTAAAATTCAGTACCTGGGACAGAGCCCTGCCTGGGGCCTCGGCCATGGGCTTGAGAGATTGTCGGAAGGTCTGACACTGGCTCTGAAAAGTCCTCAGCTTTGTGTGGGCATGGGGTAAGGCCAGTAGTCGTCTCTTAATACTGAGATTTTAGACATTGCTTTCTGGGGCAGGTCTTTAACTTAAAGAAAAAGGGAATTTTCTAGTTCATCGTAGGATTGTTTTTTTGCCTCCCCCTCCCACCAACTTCCAAAGTAGTTTTACCTTTTACCCAAAGGTATAGTGAGGCCTTTTGTTTACTAAGCAATAATGGAAGTAGGACTACTTGGATTGTAGTACACGCCTTAAAACAATCACTGTTTCTTCCAGGTACAGATATTTGGCAGCTTTAGTACAGGTCTCTATCTTCCAACTAGGTGAGTACCAGATCGGTGTTTATGCGTATTTGGGGGTGGGGGTGGTGTCTGTGTGCATGGTAAGGGCCGAAAGTAGATTCTCTGGGGCCGACTCTAAGGCTAGGAATGCCAGCTAAAGGAAGAGACCTGGGGGGCACAGAGGGAAAATCGGCAGAAGTAAATTTCAAATTTGTAACTTGTTAGTGAATCAACGGCTTTGCATTTTTCCTCTTGCACTTGTTGGGGTACAAAAATGCTGGATGCTGGAAATAGAAGATGAGTGAGAGGACCATGGGAAGTAAATACAGTAGATATTTTGGGGCATGTTTTTGAAAAACCGGTCTTATGTTTTAATGAAGATTCAAGGAAAATTCTACTTAACCAGTAAGGATTTTTATCTGAGAAAAATGACAATTTCGCATTCGAAAATTGTTTTCTAGGGTTTTCTCATTAAGTACTCCTTGATATCCAAATAAATTTTATACATATTGTTTCATTAAAAGTTTATCTTCTGTTAACCCACTGATAGTGTTTGGAGACTGAAGAGGCTGTAGTCTCGGGATTTGGGGGTTGGTGTTGTCAGGGATGGCGGGAATAGGGCAGATTCAGGGTATCCCTGGGTCAGCAACAGTGATGTGGCGTGGATAGCGTGGGAGTTGGGTCCAGGAAGCTCGGGGCCTCAGCTTGGTTTGGAGGGTCAGGCGTTTTCCTCTCAGCCCCTCAGTTACCTTGTGCTGTTGGTAGAATCTTTTATCCTTCTTACTTTCTAGCTTATATCACAGCTACTGTAAGTCCTCAGTGTTGTCTGTAGGATCTTGGAAACTGCGAGTGTAAGTGAAACGATGTATAGAAGGTCCTCAAATAACGAATGATGTTTCCTTCAACGTCATTTTGTTAACCTATTGATGAGGAAACAAACTGGTTTCCTTATACATCGTTTACCCTGTTAGAGTCACAGTTTCCAAGAACCTGTCAGTGTTAAGTGAGGAAATTCTGTCGTTCATAAACTGCACTTCATCTCCCTAAGGGCAATGCTCTTACTGGGATTATGTCTCGGCCTTTGAGGGAGATGCAGGCAGGGTATCGTGGCACATGTTGTCCCCGTGTCATCTCGTGGTGAGGGGAGCGGTGGTTGATGTGCAGTTTCTCTTCTGTCCAGTGACATAGATCTGGTGGTCTTTGGAAAATGGGAGCGTCCTCCTTTGCAGCTGTTGGAGCAGGCCCTGCGGAAGCACAACGTGGCTGAGCCGTGTTCCATCAAAGTCTTAGACAAAGCTACGGTAAGCGCTGGGCTTCAGGTCCGCCCCGTGCCAGGGCCCCCGCACCACGTGGGCATCATGTCTTGCGCCTGCGTGACTAGCTCATGTTGAACGGCAGTTACTGGCTATATTTTTTAAGACTTCTCTACTTTTGGTATAAACATGCTTATTACATTTTTGTTTTATAGTCATGATTACCAGCCAAGAACATGTTTAGTGGCAGTCTGAACTGTTGGAATTCGTGAGCTTGTCAGACTGTTCTTGGCGTTAAAAATATGATTGCGTCTACTTGTGTGTCAGGATGATCAAAGGAAGGAGGTTAACGTGTGAAACGAGATACCGTAACATTCAGGTGCTGCCGGCGCTGGGTCACACAGCTCAGTGACTAAACCATGGCATTTATGTTTACCATTGGCTAAGTTATAGTCAAGAGAGAAAAACATACCAGTTCCTTTTGTTCAAAAAATGCCCATGTGTGAAAGACCTCTTACTTGGTGAGAAGTTTGAAGATGAGACTGCTCTGGTGTGTACTTGTTAAGGTTTATGTGAGTCCAGGATTAGAAACAGCTCAGGAACTATAAGTTACCTGCCTGTTGTATGACAGTTATTAGCTCAGTTGTGCTACAGGCCAGCCTTGCATTTTTAAATTGGTGTTTCAACTAAAGTGGAGTGTGATTAACATCCTTGTTGTGTTCGAGTGGATTGTCACAAGATGGGAGCTTCATTTTGCTCATGTGGTGGTACAGTGAGGAGGTTTTCTGTGTGTTTCTTGAGTGTTAACTCTTAGGTGCTTTTACTTGGCGTGGGGGATAGTTTTTAAAAATGATGTATGCACTGAAAAATGTGCAGATATTGGGTGGACATCTTGTTGAGTTTTAATGAAGTGCGTGCACCTGTGTCACTGGCACGTGCCCGGAGGGCAAGAGGGCCAACGCCACTTCCTTCCTGAAGCCCGTCTCCCAGACGGGGCCGTTTGCTTTCCTGGCTTTCCTGACATCTAGCACCAGACACGAGCTCTGGCCACCTCCTAAAACGCTTGCCGGCCTTGTTGCGCTAGTCCTCCCAGCTCCTCTCATTGGCAGACACCGTTGTTCACGTTTCATAGGTGAGGAAGCTGAGGCACAGAGAGGTGTGACGATTAGTATGAGGTGGGTTAAACAGCCAGTGTGAGGCGGTGCCTCGATTAGCCCTGGCCTCCACTGTGGGCGTGAGCGCCGAGCCACGTGCCTGCCCTTCCGCTCCTCTGTGCCGTGGCCCCTCGCCCCTCACCTGGGGGCTGTGGGGGAGGTGGGCAGCTGGGCCGTCCGAGGCCCTCCAGCTCTCCTGTTCTGGCTCTGCCCTCCGCGTGTGCCCGGTCGATGGAGACTAGGCCTCTGGAAGCGGCAGGGTGGGTGGGCATTTCTGACCAAGTATCATGGTTTAGATGTGGAGAAGCTAAAAGGGTCATGCCTGTGTGTCCTGAGTTCCAGAGCATTCTGGAGGACAGGCAGCACTTGAGCAGCTGTTGCAGTGCTTGGCCCCAGTGGCCCTGTACTGTGCGCATGAGCCACTAAGTCCCCTTTCCTCTGTTAGCCGAGGGCCCGTGTGGACTGTAAGGAGAGCCAGGCGCTTGTGTCCAGCTGCGCTCCCTGCGGCGTGTTCCAGCCGTGGCCCGGCAGCGCTGCTCTTGGGCATGGTCAGCACGTCGCTGCAGGCTCAGGAGCCCAGGGTGAGCCTGTGCTGAAGGTGAAGGCTCGTCTCTTCGGAATAGCACTCAGAAATAAATGTTGTAGTGTTACTACCAATTTCCAGACTTTGGGGGTTCACGCTGTGAGGGTAGGAGTGTGTGTGCATAAGCAGAAGGCAGGGGAGAGCCAGAAGGGATTCTGGGGAGTGAGCCCACGGGGATGGAAAGGAAGGTGCTTCCCAAGCCTGGGGTTGCGGATGGCCAGGGTGTCAGAAGGCATAGGTATCTGAGCGTGCGGCTGCTTCTGCAGCAGTTTTGATGAGTTCCCTGGGAACGTGCCAGCCACAGCTTACCCTGCCCGGTGGTCCAGATGAGGTCCGGGTGTCTCTGTCCCTGCTGGGCCATCCTCCTCCCTTGGCAGTTTGCCCCCAGGTGTGGGTTTTGAAGCCAGAGTAGACATGTGCTGAGTGAGCTGTGACTGTGTCAACTTTGTTAACGTTTAAGCCTCTCCTTAGACCCGGATTGTTTTGGGGGAAACTCCTTTTTTATTCCTTCGAGGCTGAAAGGAACAGAACATTGCCTTTCTTCAGGAAGAACACACAGTTTTGGTGGGTGGGAAGGGGGTGGAGTGTGCTCTGAATGTTTTTGGGGCAGTTTTTTTTTTTTTTGAGACAGAGTCTCACTGTGTTGCCCGGGCTAGAGTGCCGTGGCATCAGCCTAGCTCACAGCAACCTCAAACTCCTGGGCTCAAGCGATCCTTCTGCCTCAGCCTCCCGAGTAGCTGGGACTACAGGCATGCGCCACCACGCCCGGCTAATTTTTTCTATATATTTTTAGTCGTCCGATTAATTTCTTTCTTATTTTAGTAGAGACGGGGTCTCGCTCTTGCTCAGGCTGGTTTCGAACTCCTGTGCTCAAACAATCCATCCGCCTCGGCCTCCCAGAGAGCTAGGATTACAGGCGTGAGCCACCGCGCTTGGGGCAGTTTTTATGAGGCTCATTTTGAGTGCCTTTCGGTGTTAATTCTTGTTAATGAGAGTATTTCCAAAATAGCCTTTTATTCTCTGATTTTTAGGGGAAATTTTTCTTAGGTTTTCACTTTTTAAGACCATTTTACTAAAGTAGAATTGTTTAGAGAAACAATATCAGTACAAAATGTGACTTCAGAAATGGCTGTGAAGCTACTTTGAATGTTTTCAAACAGGCTACCAAACATACTTGGGGGGCCCAAGCGCCCCTCGGCCTCCCAGACACACGTGTGGCAGGGCCTGGGCCCGCTGCTCTCGAGGTGGGCCTTCCTGCCACCTCCTTCCCTGGGACAGCTGTTCCCCTGGGCTCCCTCCCCTCCTTTCTCTGATGCTCAGTCCTGAGCCAGGCCAGCTGGGGCAGGCGGAGCAGGTGCTAGCTGTGTGGGGCTGGGGACGGGATAGAGGGTCGTCCTGGGTTCCCGATATTACTGAGGTCAGTACCTGGCAAAGTTCCCTTTCTTCTCATTTTAAAATCTGGCATTCATGGTCTCTAAGCACCTTTTGTGAATAAGAATAAAAGCCCAACACCTCTGTACAACTTGGGAAACATTTTAATGCCCGAGTGTGAAGAATGTTGCATATTGAAGGACAATTTTTAAAATTAAATCTTTACAGGTACCAATAATAAAACTCACAGATCAGGAGACTGAAGTTAAAGTGGACATCAGCTTTAACATGGAGACTGGTGTCCGGGCAGCGGAGTTCATCAAGAATTACATGAAGGTACTGTCCCCGGGAAGTTAGCGTGATGTGCGAGGGTGCGAGCTCTCTCACGCTGGGTGTCTCTTCTCTCATAAACGTTCAGGACTTACCCCCGAAGGTAGGAGTCTTTAGTAAAACAGACTGTACGCTCAAATTATTTATCCTCTGATGTTATTTCTAGAGATACTTGGAAATTATGTAGCTTTTTTTCAGATTTGCTTGTCTTGAGTAACCACTTCGTAAAGTTGAGAATTATTTTAGAGAGCTTTATTAAAATGTTCTTTCTAGTTATTAGGAAGAGACTTTGTGTCTAGCTCACGTGCCTCATTCACAAGTTTAGCCCAGGGGTCCACTGGAAGCTGAGAAAATTGTGATGAGTACTCACTTTGGACGGCCTCAGTGCCTGAGGATGGGATGACAGACCTGTTGCTGGAGCTGATGTACTTTGGACTCTTGACCTCCTGCTGCAGCAGGGGTGCTGGACCCTTCGCGGGGCTGCTGCGCCTTCAGGGCCTTGCTCCTGCAGTTTCCAGTTCCCTTCCCTCTGCGTCATCACCTGGTCCAAAGGCGCATGTCTAGCCCCAGCATGAGGTCAACGGCAGCCACGAAGCCCCCCACCCACCCCCAGCACACAGCCCTTCCTTGCTGCCCTCACTCCGCCCGCCCGCTGGGGAGGACCGTGTGCCCGCCCTGCATAGCACGCTGTGAGGAACACGAGAACGAGTGCCTCCTTTACTCGCCGGAGCCCCTGTGCCTGGTGACTCTCCCCGGCGGGGCTCCCCTCCTCATCCTGCTGGATCGGAGCTGGGGGGCTCCATAATTGTGTTTTTCACAAGCCCCTCAGGAAATCCTTAGGCCCCCCTAAAGTTTAAGACTCATTGGCCTGGAGCCTTCAGATGGGCAAGAAGATTGATTAAACTTTCTATCCTGTGAAATTTCTTCAGAAGTGTATGAACTAATCAGTAAATCTTTTTCTTTGCAATTTACAGAAATATTCATTGCTGCCTTACTTGATTTTAGTATTGAAACAGTTCCTTCTGCAGAGGGACCTGAATGAAGTTTTTACAGGTGGAATTAGCTCATACAGCCTAATTTTAATGGCCATTAGCTTTCTACAGGTATGTATGCTTCCTCCCGTGAGAACGTTTGCGTTGCAATGTGTGTAAGAGGAGGCTCCGCATGTTCGATTGATGGCTTCGTGCTTTCTGGCAGTCCTTGCTCTCCCTTCACTGCTCTGTTCTGATTTGGTGGAGATTAACTTCAGTTTTTTAATGAGACCTTCTTTTGATCAGTGCTTCTTTCCTGTTACTCCTTTATAGCTTATTTTTGTAGCTGATTTAGCTATCAGGGTAGGGAGGACTTGAGTCTGTAAGTTAGGTGTATGTCAGTCTAAGCTCAAGAAAATGCTCTTTTACAAAACGTCCATTCCTTGGTAGACAACAACCAGCTATTTTTCTTGATGCTTGTCTGTTATTTATACTGAAAAAAAAACTTGGAATAAAGTTGGGTACCATATGTGGGGGTAAAGTTTAAAAGAGAGCTTTTCTTCTCAGATGGATGAAACAGTAATATTTTGTTTTAAATTATATGTCCTTATTTTGTTGGATAACATGATGGAAAATCTATCAATAGAAAACCTTTCTAAAAGTGTTTAAAAAGTGTGTTAAATGCTATGATGTATTGATAAACTATACTTATGCTTTTCAAACATATAGTCTCTAAATTAATTATTCCATTTACATATCCTTGCATGAAGAATTCACTGTTCTTTACAAAATCTGAGGATGGGATGACAGACCTGTTGCTGGAGCTGATGTACTTTGGACTCTTGACCTGCTGCAGCAGGGGTGCTGGACCCTTTGCAGGGCTGCTGTACCTTCAGGGCCTTGCTCCTGCAGTTTCCCAGTTCCCTTCCCTCTGCGTCATCACCTGGTCCAAAGGCGCGTGTCTGGCACGCGGTCAATGGCAGCATGAGGTCAATGGCAGCCACGAAGTCCCCCACCCACTAGCACGCAGCCCTTCCTTGCCGCCCTCATCCGCCCGCCCGCTGGGGATCCCCGTGTGCCCGCCCTGCGTAGCAAGCTGTGAGGAACACGAGAACGAGTGCTGCACAGCTATATTCCTCCAGGCTTACCGTTAATTTTGTGTTCACGATTGTGCTTAGCGAAGGTTTTAAGTCCAGAATTTGGTAATTTTCTCATCAATACTACTGATAGTAGAACTACTGGTTTATACTACCTTTAATTATGGCGACTTTCTCAGTGTGTCTTTGCAGAAATGCTTGAAGAATAGTGAAAATGGAATTCCATGTCTATTTTCTCACAGTTGTAGTCACGTTGTCTTATTTTCCACTTTATCCTCTGTGATGCGGCCCATATAGTTTTTGGACATTATTTTGAACTAAACACAGCCTTCTGTTCTTCACTGATTTCTCCATTTGCTCCTGATTTGAGCTCTTGCCATGGCTTGTACTTGTGCTGTGCCCACTGCCTCCTGCTGCCCTCCCTCTGGGGTCCTTGCAGTGATCCTGTGACCCCCACAGGAGGCCACCCTAGCGTGGGGGATTGCTGTGTCCATCTCCACATCCCAGTGCCCAGAGCCCATCCTGCCTCCGCTGTGACTGTTGAGCATCTGAGTTCGTTTCATGACTGGCTGAGCCTGGCACTGGGCAGGCCCATGTTGTGGAAATATGCAAGTAAATCCTCAGAAGCCTAAATTCCCCAACCCTAAAAATACTTGTAGGCTTGGGGAGATGTATTTGCTGTGGAGCTCTGTTACAAATGTTTTTAATCATTGTACTTCTATCAAGACATTTACTTTCATGTGGACTTGGCTATCATGTTCTAGATTGGCACTGTCCAGTAGAATTTTCTGTGCGGATGGCTGTCACCCACATCTGCACAGCCCAGCAAGATAACCACACGCAGCTACTGAGTACTTGCAGTGTGGCTGGTGAGATTGACACTGAATTTTTAATTAATTTGTTTTAATTCATTTAACTAGAAATAGCCACATGTGGGCAGCACAGGTCTGGAAGACTGAGAATTATGGGTCTATTAGATCAGTGACATTTTGGAGGTTGCAGTGGACTGTGGCTTAGGTGTAGAATAAGTCTTTTGACTGCTTGCAGAAAGTGTGGCTCTGCACGGAGGCTGACATTAATCTGTATGACAAGCAGGATGTAAATTTGCTCTAAATATTATGATACAATACTAATTACACAGTCAAATTAATCATTTCACGTTCTGGTTTTACGAGATACCGTTCCACTGTACAATCTAATGCTGCCCCCTATTGGTTATATTTTAGAATAATGAAATTATGACTAGAATTGTTAGAATTACACCCTCCATCCAGGTGACTCAGTTGTGCAGAATGTGGTCAACTTATTCACTAGTATTTGGCAACTGGGGTTAATCAGATGACTTGTGGGAAGTTGATGTATGGGTTATCAAGTTCAAAAAAGCGTAATAAAATTTAGATTAGTGCATTTCTTTTGAACACTCCTATTGACAGCAGCTGTCCAGGTTTTGTTAGTGCCTCCTTGCTGCTACCCCTGCTTCCTGCTGGTGCGTGAGTGAGCACTGCTCAGTGCCCTGTCCTTGAAGAGATGCTAGCAGGTTTCATTCATTGCATGCCGTCTGCGTCAGTACATGACTTGAATCTATACAAATTGTTGATGCATCACTTTTACAGTTGCATCCAAGAATTGATGCCCGGAGAGCTGATGAAAACCTTGGAATGCTTCTTGTGGAATTTTTTGAACTCTATGGAAGAAATTTTAACTACTTGAAAACTGGTATTAGAATAAAAGAAGGAGGTGCCTATATCGCCAAAGAGGAGATCATGAAAGCCATGACCAGCGGGTACCGACCATCGATGCTGTGCATCGAGGACCCCCTGCTGCCTGGTAAGGGCGTGTGGCTCTGCACTGGTCTCGTGGGGCGCTGGCGACCCGGGGGCGTGTTGGGCCCTGCAAGTCCAGGACGAATTTGTTTGTCCTTGATGCAGGGTACTCCCTCGCTAGCAGGGTTAATGGTGCCACTTTCAGAATTCCTGGTTTAATTCTTCTGATGGACTTACTGTCTTAGAAGCTGTTTACATTCTGTAATCAGCCAGAATTAAGAAAAAATTCTTGTTCTGATTACAAAAGTATTACATATTCACCATAAACCGTTCACTTACCGGAAATGCGTAACGTGGAAAAGCAAAGGATGATCTCTTCCCATTGGGTATGTATTTCTCCAATTTTTTCCTATGTGGGTATTAATATTTATTATTGCCATCTCATTAGTTAAATGACATCCCACAGCACAAACAGATTTGCAGCTTGGCTTTCTGCATAACAGTGTATCCTAGACCCTTTCCTGGGTATGTCGGTCACGTTCTTTTGTAAGGATTGTCACACGAAGAGCCCGAGGCTGGGATCCTGTTTTCCCAATTTTATTCCCAGTGGTGTGTTTAAGGATGCTTATATCCCCATACCTTTGGTGACAGTCTTTCTTAATCTTTGCCAATCTGATAAAACCATGCGATATCAATTTTCATTTCATACACATTTCTTAATGATTGGTGGGGTTAAACACATTGTTGTTTGTCAAGTCCACAAATGTTCACTGAGCACCTGCTAGGTGAGACCCTGTTCTTTCTGTTGGAGTAGTCTGTGGTGGGCAGAGGGCAGAGCACGTGGTGGAGGACGCCAGCCCCCCAGGTACGTCGCCCCTGCGCCTTCCCTCCTGCGCAACTCCACTTGCTGTCCACCGCCTGCTAGCCGTCCTCCTGGTGGAGAGTCCTGTCTGTGCCAGGGGAGCCTTCTTGTACATGCCGTGCTTCACTTTTCCAGTTTGTCTTTTGCATCTGTATTTGGTACTTTGTATTGTTTAGCCCCTATACATTTAAAAAAATCCTCGTATTTAATGATTATTTTTGTTTTGTGGCTTCTAAGGTATAAGATTTTTATTTCCTAAAAATCATTTAAGAGAAAATAAACTGTTGTGTTTTGTTGCTTTTGTTTTTAAATGACACCATTTATGCCGTGGTTTTCCTGGTAGCAGGTGTGGCAGTGTAGCATCCATCCTTTTGTCTGTCGGGTCAGTCAAATGGGAGACAGTTACATTTTCTTCAAATGTCTTCTTAAATGTCCTCGAAAAACAGAAGACCCATATTATCACTGGGTTATATTATGAAATCTAGAAAAGATAAAATTCCAATGCTTAGAAAACACCTCCTTAAAAACATCTATACTTAACTAGAATTGTGAATAATGAGATATATGTAAATTAAAATTCAAAACAGTGATTTTCTTATAAAAATTAAACTCCTTTGACTGGCTTACTTGGTGACTTCAGTGATGGCTTCATCCAGTTTGCTCTCCACCCAGTTTCAACACCTGAGAGTCCGTACCTGAGAGATTCCGTTCTGAAAGATTTGCTTCCTGCAGGTGCTGTTCGTGTTCACCGCACTGCAGCGTCCTCAGGGTCAGCCAGCCTCTGGATCTGCAGCTGTCGGGTCACTATAACGACTCATAATTTGCAGGTCCTCAGTCACGATAGGTCAGTGCTGGTGATCTGCGTGACAGTGTCCTTGGCTTCCTTGTGGTTTTTTGCCACTTGGAGAGTTAGCGGACTTTTTCGTGAACTGGCGCTCCTGCTGGGAATGACACGTCTCTGTCCGTGGAGGTGGACCCTGGCCACATGGAAGGGGGTGATGCAGACTGGACCTCTCGGCACTCGCATCGTGATGGACGGTGTGCTTGCAGGTGCCAGTTTCCACACGTGTCTGTTGTTAGCCTCATTCAGCCCTGCTGGTGGGGCTGGGAGTGTTCCAGCGGTGAGAGCCTGCTACAGAATAACTGGTGTGAGGAGATCAGAAACATCTGGCGACGGTTCAGTCTCTGGTGGTGCTTGACAGCCAGCCGCCTTCTGTTGCAGGAAACGACGTCGGCCGGAGCTCCTACGGGGCAATGCAAGTGAAGCAGGTTTTTGACTACGCCTACATTGTCCTCAGCCACGCGGTGTCGCCGCTCGCCAGGTCCTATCCAAACAGAGATTCTGAGAGGTAACACAAGCCACGTGTCTGTGTTCTGGGCCCTTAGCACCTGTGGGGTGGTGGTTACACCTCTCTTGTGTCATTCACTGCCATGCAGTTTATGAGGGGTTACACTATCATATTTTAGAAGAACTTGAACGTGTTGGTGAAGGAAGAAGGCCTTCAGGAATTGAGGATGGCTGTATTTGATCCATCCATGGTTGAGAGTTAAATTTCTTATTTGGGGAGTCGATATTTTGTTTTGGGGGAAGTGATTTCTGTCTTTTAAAACTCTGGCACATGATGCTTTTTCTCCAAGTAGTCTTCAAAACGTGAACTTTCAGCTTCTGAGTGAACAGGCACATGTGTACCCAGGCCTCCCCTTCTCTCTTGTGTACGGTTGCTCCTCATTCTACACTTTGGGACGTTTTTGCACTGTGTACTTCATTGGTAGCCAGAGATGTTTGTTTCTGACTGCTGTGCTCCTGTGATGGGGGTGGGGGTGGGGGGGCTCAAGGGGGACGAGGAGATGGGAGTGGAAAGGGAGGATGACGTCCGAGAGCGGTAATGGGAATGGTGCATCCCTGCTACTCCTCGGCGGGATGATGGAGTGAGTGGATCTTTGCGGCCTGGCTCGGCAGCCTCTCCGCACGCTCGTGGTAGGATAATAGAACTTTGCCTGGGTTTCGTAGACTGTTTATTCAGTGTTGTCAGTTGGTGCCCTGGGCCCTGTGACTCGGTGTCTCTTAGCACCATCTCCGCATTCTTGCCTGAGCAGTGGGAAGTGGAAATGTCAGAACTTCATGACCATCATGGTGGGAAGCTGCGCTCCCTTACTCAAGAACTGGATTGAAACAATCTTCTGCAGACAGATGTAGGGTCAAGGACTTCTACACATACTGTGATCTCAGGGTGCCCGTGCGCGTACACATGAGAAATCATAGATATTTTGTAAAAGTATTTCAGCTCCTTTCCTACTATCTTTCACTTCAAAGAAGACTTGTAAGTCTGAAGGAGCTACGCGAGAGGGGTTGTCAGCTCCCTGGTACCTGCTATCCTGTGTTAATGTCCGTGATGTCCCTTCGCAGTACTTTGGGCAGGATTGTCAAGGTGACTCAGGAAGTGATCGACTACCGGCAGTGGATCAAGGAGAAGTGGGGCAGCAAGATCCACCCATCGCCGGGTCTCGGTGAGAGATTAATTTATTCGTGTTCATCTCCGTTATCTGACATGCTGATGCAGACGCATCTTTGTTCCTTTATGATAAATTGTCCAAACTAAGAAAATAGTGAGTTTTTTGATAAGCATCCAACTAAAAACTGTAAGATCTAGGCCAGCACTATCCAGTAGAAATGTAATGCATGCCACACGTGGAATTCTGAAGTATGAAAAGGAACAGGTGAAATTAATTTTAACGTATTTTATTCAACCTAATTCAAAATATTAACATTTTATCATGTAATCAACATAAAAGTTATTGAGATATCTTATGGCTTTTTTGGCACTAAGTCTTTGAAATCCGGTATGAATTTATACTGACAGCACATCCTAATTAGGATGCTGAGTTTTCATCAGAAATACTTGGTCTGTATTTAGATTTCGTCAATTTGACAGTTGAAGATGATTTATATACCCAAGTTTTACATGTTTAACTGTTTTCCAATAAGTAACTGAATATAATTTTAATACCTAAATTAAAATGTGATAAAATTCAGTGTTCGGTCTGTCACGTGAGCAGCATTCGCGGCTTGGCGGTGCCTGTGCCCGACGGACTGCGCACTTGTGCAGGGCTCGGCGGGTTCTTAGCCCGGGCTTCCTCCCCTCCACAGACAACAGAATCAAGATAAAAGAGCGAATAGCCACGTGCAACGGGGAGCAGACCCCGAGCCGAGAGTCCGAGTCGCCGTACGGCCAGCGCCTGACCTTGTCCCTCTCCAGCCCCCAGCTCCTCTCCTCGGGCTCCTCTGCTTCTTCAGTGTCTTCGCTTTCCGGAAGCGATGTTGTGAGTGTCCCTCGGCCCTCCTCCCCGCCGCCTCTGTGTGTCTGTGGGCTGGTGTGTGTTCCTGGGAAACGTCCGTAGCAGCGAGTGTAAACTGTCTCCTCCTCAGTTTGGATCACGTTTTGTTTCTGTGTTGGGGGGTGGGGGCGGCCCAGAGGTCTGCATCGGGTGGTCTTCCCATTGTGAGCCTTGAGAACCTTCATTGCCCACGTGACCCGTCAAGAGCAGTGATGCTGTCCACAGTCGAACCACAGTGGGCTTTCTTGAATAGTTTTTTAAAAATCTATTTGGAGATAAAATTTAAGTCCAGATGTCTCTTCTGTATTTCCTTTAATATTCTTTTTCAGTTTTGAAATTACTTGAAGCCAGTCTGGGTAGAGTCAGACTGCCTGTTGTTCAGAAGTTACACTCACCTGCTAACCTTTCATAGCTAGCCTGACACGGGCGCAGAGCGCTGCACCCCTGTGGTTGAGCCGTGCTTGTTGTTTCTTGTCCCGGATTCAAGGACTCGGACACGCCGCCCTGCACCACACCCAGCGTTTACCAGTTCAGTCTGCAGGCGCCGACTCCTCTGATGGCCGGCTTGCCCACTGCCTTGCCCATGCCCAGCGGGAAGCCCCAGTCCACTGCGTCCAGAACACTGATCATGACGACAAACAATCAGGTACGGGCCCCAGGGAACAGCTTACGGGCTGTGAAATGCGCTAGAGGAGACTGGGTTCGTCATTTCTGTCTTGTTATAGGAAGTCTCCTTTCTGTGGATTGATAGCATGCAGTTCCTGTTGTTCTGTAAAAGACAGTCTTTAACACTGCCGACGCTGAGGTCCACAGCGTAGAGTTTTAGCAGTGAGGAAACTCTTGCGGTTGTTGAGTACTGAACTGACTTCTGAAGAGGCCAAGTTGACTGTCTTTCTGCATGTTACCTCGGTGCCCAGCGTTAAGCTGCTGTCCTGGGTCGTCTCGGGTACACTGATGCTGTCCGTTCGGCCTGTGCCTGGGCAGCAGTGGACACTTGTCCCTGCTTTCCTCTTGGAATCTCAATGTTTAGACTTTTAAGAAGTTTTAATGTGAACTTAGACTTTACCATGTTATTAATTAGGCATTATTTTTAGGGTTTTTTTTTTTTCTGTTAGAACACGTTCTCTCTTTGTTAAATACAGGTGAAGTTAGAAGTCTAAAGGAAGATTTTATAAATGTTACATTTTGTCTCTACTTCCCAATTGTACATCAGTTGAATATGTATAGGTATAAAACTTAACACATTAGTTTACTTCAGAGTGAAATGTGGGTTGTAATTTGAGTGTAAAACATTTAGATACATGCAAACATACATTGATTCACTTCTTGGAGTTTTGCTTTCTGCCCTGGGGAGGACGTTCTCCAGGATACCCTTGAGCCCTTGAGGGCTGCTTGAATGCCTGGCACGGCGCTGGACGGCCCAGCCAGAGCCGCCACATCCTACAGGCCTTTGCCTAGTGCAGACACATAAAGTCCTGAGGCAGTTGTTTACGTTATTAAAGTGAATTCTGCCACAGAAATGTGGTTGCTTTATAGTCAAATTGGCCATGACGTCCCTGACTGTGTCACAGAGGCGTTTATTTTAACCTCCTCAGGGATCAGAACCCCCACCGAGCTGCAGGGTCACACGCTGTGGCTGTTTGTGTGGCTCTGGTGGGAGACTGTGGGGGGTGGGGGTCTAGAGTGTCTAAGGAAATGTCAGGCCAGTTTGCCACTTATGTTTACGTCTTCATTATGTACTAACAGGCCAAAGTAGTAAAGTCATAAAACCACTTTCCTGTGTTTCCAGTGGAATAATTAGGTAACATCCCATGTTTAAACATCGTATGCATTGTCTATCCTGTGCAGCTTGCAGCATGCTGCAGTTGCCTGCTCCGGGCGGGCTGCTAAGTCTGGTGGGATGAAGTCGGTGACCGGCAGAGTTGGTGGGCATTCAGCTGTCAGAGACCCCGCGGGCGGAGCTTGCTTTCCTGGAGGCCCATTCCCTGGGGAGCGAACGCATTCCTCTGAGGAGAGAGTGTGGGTGTGGCGTGGGGCCCGGGCCCTGGCCCTGTCCAGGGAGGCACGCCGGGGGCCTGGGCTCCTGGACGAGATCCCCCCCCACCCAGTTCTGGTAGTGTTGTGAAGAGGCACCGCGTGTGCTCTGCAGCCCCCTGGAGCCACGTGTGAGGGCCGCAGCTCCTGCTCTGTCCACGCCCCTCGAGGGTCTTAGGGGTAAATGCATTTGATGCCAAGATGGGACCAGTCCAGTTGTCACAAGTCTGAGAAGGGGTCTCACACCCCTCTGCCGCCAATAGCAATGGGTGGTCCAGAGGCAGAAGCATCCCGGGAACTGGAGAGGAGGCCTGGAAAGAACTGCCATCCCGTCCCCGGGCCCTCAGGCTCGGATCACAGTGTTCCTTGCAGCATTGGAGCAGGGGACTCACCCTGGGGCTCTTCTCAGAGATCGAGTGGCAGTTGAGATTCTGATGACTAATTTTTTTGAGTGGTGGTTTGGTCATCGGTGAATTTTAAACTTTCCGACTTGGGTGACTGGGCACACTTTGCATCGTAATTGCTACTTCAGAGTGTATTTTCAATTCAGAACAAAATACTGTCAGGTTATAGTAAGACACCAACTGCTTTATCAAGCCCTATGCAAATCGCCCTTCGTGAGCAGCTCCACCCTCTGCGGTGCTTGCTTTAGAGGCTGGATGGGTTTATTGTTGGTTTGGTACCTATGGATGTCTCTGTTTTGTTCCTAGACCAGGTTTACTATACCTCCACCGACCCTCGGGGTTGCCCCTGTTCCTTGCAGACAAGCTGGTGTTGAAGGAACTGCACCCTTGAAAGCCGTCCACCACATGTCTTCCCCGGCCATCCCCTCGGCATCCCCCAACCCACTGTCGAGCCCTCACCTGTATCATAAGGTACGTGGCATTCGTGGCCCACGCGTCCACCGAAGCCGCCGCGTGAGAGACAGTGTACGTTTTCTCCTCCAAAGAGAATTCCAGAGAGATCATATGAAAGGCAATTTATTTTCTGGTCATTTAGCTTAATGTTTGCTTTTTTCCCTTAACAAAACTTTAAAAATGTTAACTTATTTTAAAATAGTTTTAATTGGTTGCCATAAGCATCTCTTTTAATTCCTCCGAACTGGTTAACATAAAACTGAAGTTTGAAACAAGCAAGGTTCAAAATGAAGAACATTTTATTCCCCCATTTATTTGTTAAATTAATTCATATGCAAAATACTTTGGTTTTTAAGAAGCAAATGATAAAACCAACAAGTCTTGCCACGATGTCCTGTGTGCACCACTGTGGTTCCCACGTGGCTTGACTCCTCACCTGGGTGGCGGGATCGACAGGTGGGTGGGCTGCAGCAGGGCCTAGAGTGTTTCATCCCTGCCCTGTGGCTTCTTGTAAGTCCACCCAGTGCATGAGAAACTGTGTCTACTGAGAAAGCAGGTCACTGTTAAGCCCCTGTGCTCCTGAAGTGCGTGAACAGTTGGGGAAACTGGGGCCACGGTCTTCTACAGGCCTTCCAGGCGGGCCTGGCATTCCCGGGCCTCTGGGGTGCTTGGTGGGTTCATGAGCGTCCACACCTCTTACTCCACTCAGGCTCTCTCACTTGTCTAATCCTATTTGCTTGTTAATTTTTTTTTTTTTTGAGACAGAGTCTCACTCTTTTGCCCGGGCTAGAGTGAGTGCCCTGGCATCAGCCTAGCTCACAGCAACCTCAAACTCCTGGGCTCAGGCGATCCTCCTGCCTCAGCCTCCCGAGTAGCTGGAACTACAGGCACGCACCACCGTGCCCGGCTAATTTTTTCTAGTTTCAGTTGTTTGGCTAATTTCTTTTCTATTTATAGTAGAGACGGGGGTCTCGCTCTTGCTGCCTGTTAATTTTTTATTCTTGAGGCTTGGCTTTTTGGCCCTGTGTCACTAATTCCTGGTGATTATTTGTACTTGAGAGTTAAGTAGCAGAACATTCCCTCTCGGATTTGTCCATCCTGTGGCAGCAGAGCTCTCCTCCAGCTACCTGCTGACCCGGTAGGAACGCTCTGATGCATTGCGCCTTGGCGGGAAGGCAGCCCTCATTAATGGCGTTTTGGCTTCCCTTGCTCAGCCGCCTCCTGTTCACTTTGCTTTGAGATCTTCCCGAGACCTGCTTGTGTTTTCTCTCAGCCTGCTTTGCATGGGGACTTTGCTGTGCAGGGCGCGTGCTCGGGGTGACCCACACACCCCGCAGCATGCGCTGACCCAGGCCCTGGCACCTGTGCTCACGGGTGTGGTGCCAGAGCTTGCAGTCAGGGGTAGAAGACGAGGGGGCCTCTTATTTCTGTGGACAAACAACGAGTTGGGAGTGTGATTCTTGTGAGCTCGTGTGGGTTGATCCCGACCCACAGTTGGTACCTTGACAGGGTCACTGAGAGGGAAGGGTGCTGTTTGTCTCAGTGTAAGCTGAGTGCGGCTCATGACGTGTGACGTCGTGTCCGGTGTCCGAGTGCTGGCTCCAATGCTGCTCTTTGTCTCTCCAGCAGCACAACGGCATGAAACTGTCCATGAAGGGTTCTCACGGCCACACCCAGGGCGGCAGCTACAGCTCTGTGGGCAGCGGGGGCGTGCGGCCCCCCGTGGGCAACCGTGGACACCACCAGTATAACCGCACCGGCTGGAGGAGGAAAAAACACACACACACGCGGGACAGCCTGCCCGTGAGTCTCAGCAGATAATGGCTCCTGGCCGCGCCGGCCTCCCCGACCCCTCCCGCAGACTGCCCGGCCGCCTTGGGCGCCGGCGGGGAGCCGAGACCAGCGTCCAGCACGTCGGCCCGGGCACGCCGCGGATCACTCTGCATGTTTCTTTGTGTGGTGGTCACGTCCATCTTAAAGAACAGCTCGTCGTGCTCATCTGTGAAGCCTTATTCAACGTGGACGTTGTTTTCTGCCTTCCCACGATTCTTCGTTCAGTGCCGATCAGGTCGGGCTCGGGAACTGCAGGACGAGAGCGTGCGCTTGCAGTTCCGTGGCAGCCGGTGTCTGTTCTTTGCGGTTTGGTATTTTCATTTCACGTCTGTCAAAGCAGCAGAGGAGATCAAACCCCGTACGTGTGTCTTTCCTCCACGGATAAGCTTGGGAGGTCATCGTTTTACTGCCCTCACGTTTCGTTTGAAATTGCAGAACTGTTTTTCTATGTAAATATTGAAAACTTATGATTTGTGCAATAACTCAGATATTTTTTATTTAATTTCATATTTTCACATAAGTTATATTTAAGGGAGGAGGGAATTTTTTTAAACGAGCTTAGATCCTTTCCCGAGTTGCATTTTCTAAGTTGGGTTCATTGTGTCGGCTGATTGTCTGAGGAGCATCGTTACAAACACTATGAGGAGGGGCTTTGGGGTTTTATTTTTATGTCTTTTCTTTTGGTCAGATGTGAGGGAGGGAGCCACGCTGCCCTGCGGGGTCCGAGGGGCTCGCTCTGAAACCGTGCGACGGTCTGCCGGCGGCCCTGCCTTTGGGCCTCATGCTGTTGTCCTGCTCTGACCACTGAGTTTCGATGTTTTGGTTTTTGGTTCTTTTAAACTAGACAACAAATCCAGCATTTAAAGTGCCAGAAGTATAACTTTCTAAGGGGAGAAAAGGTTGTCACGTTATAAAATCTTAAAAAAAAATGTGAACTTGGAAATGCTTCAGTGAGTTTTAGTAACATAGCCTGTAATGGTGGGTCTGGTGAGAGTCACCACGGACCGTGGTACCCAGTTTTAGGAATGTGGAGAAAGGAATTCTGTTGATTCCGTTGGGAATCTGCATAGCAGTATGCATTCGTTCTGTTAAGAGCAAACATAGGAGAAGTTCTTCAGCTGCTCAGCGCACCGTGGGGAGTATTTTTAATGTATTGCAGGAGAGCACAGCCCAGCGTTGGGGCCGGGAGCGGCTGGCGCCAACGCCGGAAGCATACAGGTATACTATGCAAGTGTATTCTGCCACAGCAACCACTGTCTTTGTTACCTTTTTTTGAACAAGAATATCCATCCTGCCTAACCCTGAGTTCTCGGAGCACCACCGTTGTCCTGGGAGTCGGTTGCACCTTGTGGGCCATCTGACTCCCCGTTTTTACAGTTGGGGGTCCTGGCCCTGCTAAACACTACAGGTAGGTTGGTCTTTGAAGTCCACTAGTGGAGAATGTTGAGACGAGGAACTTGTTACCATGACACCTGATGGATGTGCAGCAGTGGGGAGTTCTAGATCGATGTCTGCATGTGACGGACACCCAGCAAGGACAAGCTTTAAAATGTCTGCGGTCTGCCTTTGGAAGCAGGGCCGGCCCACACTGTCACCGGGAGCTGTCGACTGCGGCTGCGGGTTCTCTGGGAGGCGTGCCAGGATAGAGTAGCACATTACGTCTGCAGTTCTTGGTCGGAAGTTATCAAAAATATTTAAAAGTATTTAAATTGTGAACCTATTGATAAAGAATATTTATAAAAACTGATCTGTAGGCCTGTACTAATCTCTACGCATTAGCAATATTGACTGTAAACCTACATTAAGGAAGCCACTGCGGGGACAGCGGCGAGTGTCCCGGGGGGGTGTGCATTTTAAAGCTTGATTTATAGACACAGGTACCATGTTCCGTTTCCGTCATGGTGAACCGAATGAATTGGCCTGGCTAGCACGGTGGGCTCGTGCTGCAGATTTAACCGAAAAATATCTATCATGTTTCGACTTTTTTGTGTGTGGACAACAATGTGGAAGCTAAAATTGACATATTTTTATGTAAAGTTTTTCTATTCTTTGATTTTTAATAAACTTTGGAAACCAGTTTTGTGTTTGTTTTCAAATATATGCTTTCCTTTCAAGGGGAAGGGTGACTCTGTGTTTTCAGTTTTGGATTTCTGTAGTAGGGCAATTCTGTAGCCAGTTGTTAGCTGGGTTCAAACAGAGGCAGATGCCCGTCCTGTACAGTGAGCGGGGGAGGCCGGTTGCGTTCACTGGTTCATTAAGTTGGGCTGAGGTTCCAGGCTTTCACGTACTTGTGTAAAAGAAAAGGACCTGAAACATACTCTGTTCTCACATTCTGATGCTAACAGGAAATCAGTGAAGCCATTTAAGTGATACTATTTATATGGGATTCCTGATAAGCTGGTACATGATACTATGTACTTAGACCACCTAGTGAAACATTTGTTTCCTTTACGTCTCTTTTAGGTTAACATTGTATCACTTAAAGACACATAACAAACCACTAGTTATACTGTAGCTTAAACTGTAACTTAAGGTTGGAATTGCTAAGGAAATTCACAAGAATTCTTATAAACCAGCAAGGTGACAGAACCACCATGTCCCAGGCTTCACAGCGCTCTGTATGTGTTCTAGAACCATCAGCTCTAGAACGCTGCATATTGTAGAGGTGGGCATCGTGGTTGAAACCTCCTTCCCTCAGCCCAGAGGACGTGGTAGCCCTGTGGTCGTGGCCCCTGTTACGAGCGAGCAGAAGCACCTAAAGCACCACGCTAGTGCCGTGGGGGGCAGTGCAGCCAGGGCCTGGCTGAGTGAGGGTGTGGAGGCTTCTCTAGGGTGGTGGAGCTCCCCCTGGTTGCCAGGGCAGGGTGGAGGAGCAGAGGCTGCTGGGAGGATTTATAGCTGGGGAGTGTCTTTAAGTTACTGTGGCCGCTGGAGGATGGGCCAGGCCGAAGGAGGAGCTGAGGTGTGGGCGGCAGGGGAGGAGAGACACGGCCAAATCAGGACCCGTGTTGGAGGCAGGGCTGGCAAGACGGTGGGTGGGTAGGTGGGCGTGAGGGGAGTCACTCCTGACCCCCCTCTGCAGGAGCCTGGCCCGGAGGCATCCAGGAGCCCAGGCAGCTGAGTTGCCGATGGAGCCTGAGGCCGCAGGGGGAGGTGGAGACTGCAGGGGGCCCAAGACAGAAAATGGGTCCTGCTGTCCCAGCAGGCTCAGATGGGGATGTGCTGAGGCCTGGTCAGGAAAGCAAGGGCTCTGAGAGGAAAGGTGGCCTGTCCTGTCAGGCAGGGCTGTGCGCCTCTCTGGACGCCTCTGGAGATGGTGTCCCCACTGGCCGACTGTGACAGCCTTGGCTTGATCATCGGCCGGATCTCCACATGTTCTCGGGACCCCATCAGCTCCAATCCTGAGCTAACAGGTAAGCTTCACGACCAGGTTCCAGAGTTTTCCTTTTGAGTCACCTCAGGGTCCCGAGAACCACCACTTCATCCCCGTGGGAGGTGCCTAGTGGTACCTGTGACCCTGTGCACGTGTGCCATGGCCTAGGCACTGGGGCGTGCGCGAAGGGGGTGGCGACGTCGTGATCCAGACACACCTGCCTCTGTGGACACAGGGTTTTGTCTGAATCAGATGACCCTGTGCCGACCTGCCTAAGTTAGCGCTGAGAACGGCGTGATGACTGCCCTCACACGGTCTGACCCGCGAGGTTCTTGCCCATCCTTGGGTGACTTAGGGCACCAAAAGGAAGCTGATGTAGAACGGACAGTGGCTATCATTAAACACGGGGGCACACACGTGCCCAGACGCCCCATGCCGGGGCTCATTCTCACTGTTTAAATGTCTCTCCCATTGTGTCTTCAGGCCCTGTGGGGGAGGGGCCCTTTGAGGGCAGGTTCCTGCCAGCCCTGGGTTAGGGGGCAACTGTCAAACCTGGCGATGGCATTCACGTTCTCATGTGACTCGGGTCTGAAGAGGGACCAGTTCATGACTTCAGAGGCCTGGGGGTGAATTCCAGGCAAGCTCAAGGAACGCTGATGGGGTTCTTAGTGAAGGGTGTCGTGCACGGTCACCCTGGGAGACTGAATTCTGTCCTCAGGGAAGCCGCCTGGCCTTGGGGTGAGGTCACCAGGGGTTCCTCCCAGCAAGTGTGGGGGTGCAGTCCTCTGTCCCCCTGAGACGGGAGCTCTGGCGATGCCCAAGACCAGAGTAAGGCGATGTTGGGGCCACTCGGGCAGGTTTCCGTCATTCCTGCCGTGTTTCATCACGTCCTGCGTTTCTATGGTGCCTGACAGCGACGGCTGTGGGTGATTCCGAGCCTCCTCCACGGATGTGAAACCTCCCCCACCCCAACTGTCAGAGAATCTTGGAGTTGGGAAGAGTCTTAGGGACCAGCCAGAGCAGCACAGTCCTGAGGATGAGAAACTGAAGTCCTGGGCAGGAAGTGGCTTCTCAGGGCAGGCAGCAACTCTGCAAAGGTGCAAATCCATGAGGAGCCCAGCTAGAGTGAGCGCCCACCCACCTCGCTCTCTTTGCCGACAGCCTGGAGCCCCTTCTTCTCTGATGGCTACTGTTGAGCCCCGCCAGCTTCTGCAGACACGGCTGGAGGCTCCCTGCAGGTGGACCCTGCCTGAAATTCTCATCCAGAGAGAGCTGGGTCCAGCCTGGGTGCAGTGCTGACCCGGCTGCGATAAAGTGACTTGGATCACAAAATGGTCACTGTAGCCCATTCCTAGCTCCCCTCCCTGGGCCAGCTCTCCAGCGTGGCTGAGCCCTCACTGTCCTGTCTTCCCTGTCCCTCCCCAACCTGTCCCTGTCCTTACCTTGCTCAGCGGCCCCTGCTTCCAGGACATGTAGGCCCACGTGGTAACATCCCTGATCTCATTGTCTTTCAGTTGCATCCTCCTTGGGACCCACCTGTGGCTTCCACTGCAGGCAGGGTGGTGCGGGTGAGTAAACTGAGGCAGAGAGTGGCTGAGTTACTCAGCCACGGTCACTGGATAGGTACAGAGGGAGGTGGCAGCCCATCTCCCCAGGCCCTCCATGCTCCAGGCAGCCCTTCCCCGTCCCTCTGCACCCCTGCTCCTTCCTGGGCACTGGAAACCTCCGCTCAGCCCAAACTCCTGCTCCGCTGTCCTCTGTCCAAGAGAAAACGCCTACCTGGCCCTGGCCCACCTTCCGGCCTGGGGCATTCTGTCCTCCCCTCCTTCCGCCAGCAAATCACACACAATCGCACAGAAAGGGCTTCCTGCTGCCTGGGGGCAGAGGCTCCCCTTTGCTGGGGACCTGGCTCTTCCTTGTTCTTTGTCACCAACGCTCCTCCTCTGCCCCACCAGCCTTGAAACCAGCTCTCAGGTCCGGCAAAGCCCCTCTCCTTCCCTCTGGAGGCCTCCTTTCCTCTCTCCATCCCTCCTGAGCCGACTGTCTACACCAGCTTTCTCCACCTTCCCTCCTCCCCACCTTGCCGGGTTCTTGCTGTCTGCCCTGGCCCGCCCCTCCAGTCAGTGCCCACTGTGTCTGCGAAGCCTCATGGGCAGCATCGGCCTTTGTCTTGTGGGCTTGGCGACGGAAGCCCCTCCTCGGGCTCCCTCGACACCGTTTTCTCCGTATTTTCCTCCCGGTTCTTGCTGTACCAGCTGGACGCCCACGAGCGTCGCTGGTCTCTGCCTGTCTTCTGAGCCCCCCACGCTGGGCGTGTCTCTGTGGAGGAGTCTCCCAGGCCCTCAGCGCAGGGGCCCCCGTCAAATGCCCCTCGTCCCTCCGCCTGGCCTGTGCCCCGCCTGCCGGTGAGCGCTGCCGGTCAGTCGCTGGTGTGCTCGGTGTGCTCGGTGTGCTCGTGCACCTGTCTCTGCCGCTCAGCACCTGCGCCGCCTCCCGCTGTCCCCTAAGTCTGCTGGCTCTGTGGCTAAGCTCCTCCATTCCCCTTCATCCCTGCTGCCCCGGCTGTCCTTCCTGTCCTCACCCCTCTCCTGGACGCCAGGATGCCCCCAACCAGCCTTCGGTCTGTTCCCTGGGCCTCCTCCATGGGCGCCAGCAGTCCTGATGGTGCAGCCACAGCCCCGTCTCTCTGCTCTTCCATCCCGGGTGTCGCTCTGGGGTCCCAGGACAGCGTTGCCCAGCCTTCAGGCACTATCTCGTCACCTCCACAGTTGTCACTCCCTTCGTGCACTGCCCCGGTTCTTGTTTCCTAACTTTGTTCTCCCCACATCCGCTTAGAAAGGAAAGCATGTCCCTGTCTTCAGTGGAAACGGCACCACTGGCTGTAAATGTCAGGTAACAAACGAAACATAAACTGGCCATCGAAAAGCTGGTCAGAGCCAGGTGGACGATCCTGCCAGCGGAGCCCCCGGGGCGCAGGCTGGAGTCAGGAGCGGGCACAGAGCCCGGAGGGCGACTGGAAGGCACGTGAAAAGGGAAACACGTTCTCACCTTGTGTTTCAGGGCTTTTATTGTTGGTTGGAGCATCCACTAAAATCAGCCGACATATCCGCACGGATCCCCTGTTTGGGGAAATCAAACCTCGAATCCTTCATTTGATTTAAAAAGCTCTCCAGAATCTCTCCTTTGCCTCCCTTTGCGCCCTGGCCACTTGGAATATTTCTGTTAGAAAATCAGTGTTTCCCCCTCAGGGCCCTCAAATGTGAGAGAAAATTATCGTCACAGTCAAGTTTGGGGTCTAAGAGAGACTGCTCTCCTGGAAGGGGCTGAGGGGGCGAAAGGGAGGACGGATCTCTGTACCACCCGCCCCCCATTCAAGTCTCCATTCTGCTGCCATGTGGCTGTGTGTCCTGGAGCAAGTCACTTAACCCCTCTGTGCCTTTTTCCTCATCCCTCCCTGATGGGCGTGGTACAGACTGCATGAGTAAATGCGAGACACAGAAAGTCCTCCCAGCGGGACAGTATGGAGCTGAGCCGAGCCTGTCCATCTAAAGGGGCATGGCAGGAAGAACTCACTTTAAATGACAGGCAAGAGGGAAAATGTAATACGTGGCTTCGTGTTCTTCTTTCCCTTTTGTTCTTGCATCCGAGTTTATAATGTTGCTTATTTCATAGTCAAGATTCTTGGTCCTGAGCTTGGAGCACTTT